ACCTCATTTAATCTAGATAATCTCTCACAGATGCATCCAGAGACTGTTTCCATGGTGACTCTAAATACCATCAAGTTGACAAACAAGTCAATAATAATAATCACAGTCACTGTTGTGGGTAAAGTTTTTGGTGGCCTTTTGGGGTTCTGATGGCTTTTGATCCCAGGCCTCCTGAGACTAAGGGGCAGCCCATCTGTCCTCTAGATTAGCACCCTGCCCAGACATTGCTCCAGCTTTATTACTGAAAATCTGGTCATCAGACAACAAGAACCGACTTGGTTTAATCTAATGAAGAAACTGGCTGTTCAGAAAGGGACTATGCCACTTTCAGAATCAGTGAAAGGTTGAATAACAAGCCCCATACTGACCCTGAAGCTGATAGAGGCCAGTTGAGCTCCTCCCGGAAGGAATCTGGAGATGTCCCATAGCCTGCTGCCACAGTGAACTCTTTATCAGGGACCTTTGCTACCTCTACTGTTTCACTCTCGAGACTGCTGCCCTCTGATGAACCCTTGGACCTCTGTGTGATGTCTCTAGATCCTAAGCCCCAGGCAGTCACAACAGTTGGCCATACTTCAGTTCCCGTTAATATATCAGGAGTAAGGAAAAGGACTCTCTATACCCAGTACACTTTCGTGGGTCCTAGGAAGGGTTCGACACTCCACTCTCATCTTTTCTTGCAAGACAGAAAAGGGGTTGCAAACGTAGAGTGGACAGGAAACCCTTCCCTACTGTAGAACCCCTGGAGACGAGGAGGTGAGAAACCCTTCCCTGCTGTAGATCCCACTGGAGGCGAGGAGGTGAGAAATCCTTCCCTACTGTAGATCCCACTGGAGGCGAGGAGGTGGGAAACACTTCTCTGCTGTAGATCACGGAAGACGAGGAAGTGGAACTGCTTTGTTGAACGGAGAAAGAGTCTCCTGTGGCTTCCCTGTGTGATGGGAATGCATTTCATTTTCAGCTAAGCCAATTCAAGGGTAGTCTTTGTCACTTACAGTCAAAAAAGCTGTCTTACTTCCATCTTCCGACCCGTGGTTGGCAACTATTGGTGGCATTAGCCTCCCCGGGGTATCTGTGACTATGTAGAGTACAGTTGTCCCTCTTGTCTAGGGTTTTGCCATCTGCGGTCTCAGTTACCGGAGATCAACCATGGTCTAAAAACATTCAGTGGGAGCTTCTAGAAAAAAAAAATTATAAGTTTTACATTCTTTCCCCTTCAAAATAGTATGACAATGAACTTTTCCTGTTCTTGTCTTGATTGACATAAGATTTGTTGCTTTGTCCAGCGTATTCATTCTATATATACAACTCATCTATCAGTCACTTAGTGTGTGTCTAGGTTATTAGATTTGATGTCACAGTACCGTTGTGCTTCCGTTAAGTAACCCTTATTTTACTTAATAATGGCCTGGAACTGCAAAAGTAACAGCACTGGCAATTTTTTCGTGGTGTATTTACTATAATTGTTTTTTTATTGTCGATTATTATTGTTGATCTCTTATTCTTCTTAATTTATAAATCAAACTTGATTATAAGAACATATGTACACATGGAGAAAACATAGTATAGATAGGGCTCAACACTATCCAAGAATCCAATGGAGACTTGAAATTTCTCTTCTGCCATTAAGGAAGGAGAAATCTATGTGTGTCAACATCCAATGAGTGAAAGCTGTCTGAAGACCCCGGACAACCCAAGAAGCTTAACTGCAAGCCACAGTAAGAACGGCCTGCACCAAATGCCAAGCATGTCACCAGCAGGGCAAGCTGCAGTCACGTCAATAATATTGAGTTTGGTCATGGTCAAACCTCTTCAACTTCCTGAGATCACTGGCTCACTGGATAGGAGGCTGAGATGAATTGCCCTCAGGGGCTTTCTTGGGTAAGTTTTAGCATCAGCAACATGGTGAGGCCCTGATGTGGAAGAACAAGGTTTCAGGCCTGAAGAAGTCCTTCATGAAGACAGATAGTCATCACAGACAGTGTGTCGAGCGCCCTGAAGGAACAGGGCCTTCCATGCTAGAGAACAAAGGGGAATCTTACTCGTATAGATTTCTGGGGGTCATGAGGGGAAGTTTCATACCACATGCATCTCAAAGCAGGAAGCACTAGATAAATGCAAATTTAGAATTCAAAGTTATTTGGGGGATGGGGAGGGAGGGGAAGTCTCTGGGTTACTTACTGGAAGCTACAATGGAGGAATACGACAAGGCCACAGCAGAAAGAAAGATGTCCTGATTTCTAGGAGATGGTTCTGTAGCCTAACACTTTCCACAGAGATTGGTCATGGCTTCGCTATCCACAACAAAGCAGGAAGTAGTGACCTAGTCTTCAGAGTCATCCAGCACACACACTGGCTAATCCTGAGAGCGGACCAACCCTTGCCTTATTTACAGCTAAGGAAGCTGAGATCTGGAGTCAAAGCTTCTATCCAAGGTCACCTAGCTCAGCGGCTGGCAGAATTCAGTTCTGAGTCCATCCTCTGGCCCCACTGAGGACCTGGCTGTTTTCCATATGGGGCAGACTTGAGAATTCACAACTCGGGGTGCAGCTCCTCTTCCAGGAGCTTCCAGGTGACTGGTTTGAGAGCTCTAGCAGGGCCTATGTCTCAGGATGCCACCTGCAGAGGCTGACATAAAGAGAGGGGCTGTCATGGGAGGGACTGAACTTTGTGGGCAGACCTGGCACCAAGCAAAAGGAACAAAGAGTCAGAGAGCCCGAGCCTCGCCCCCAGGGAGGATGAAGGCTCCACAAGGATTTGCAGGGACTTGGTTCTGTTCCTTTCCCCAGATAATCACACAGGAACTAATTAGCACCTTCCTTCTGTGCACAGCCCTCTGGGGCTGGAGGATGCTCAGAGAGAAGAGAAGCCCATTAATTACCTTATCAGGAAGCACTGATAAGAACCTGTGAAAGGTATTGCTTTAAGGCTCTGAGCTAATTAAAGAGGGCTGTGGGGTGAAGAAATGTGTCACCCCACATCCGAACATGGCACTGGCTTTGATCCTGAACCCTGAAGCCTTGCATCCCCAGGCTGAGAGAAAACACTCCTGACCTTCCAAAGAAACTTCTCCTTTACAGTTCATGACTCTAACTTGGGATGCTCCGGAATGAGCCTGCTGGCTATGATGCTGGGGATCCTAGCTGAAGACTGAAGCTCTGGGAGGCTTCATGAGCCATCTCCCATGACCAGTTTCTGTCCCCTGTTCCCCTTGCTGGTGTTACTAACAGGCCTATGTAGTTAGGGAAGAAAACAAGGCTCGGAGAATTTAACACACCAAGTCGAGGAAGGTTCAGGTAGAAAGAGCCAGGAGTTGGGCTTGAACCTAGACCACCAGCTCGTCACTCCTCTGTGGAATTGTTCTGTGGGTTCAAGGGTGCTGGCTGGAACCATACCTGTCCTCCTGTCCTGGGATCCTTCTCTTCTTACCTCTTAGAGCCCATCCCTTTCCTAAACCCTGGTGTCTTTGTCCTTGATATGGGATCAGTCATGCCTCCTCATAGGGGTCTACAGAGGGGTGTGAATTAAGATGATCTGGGCATGTCACCTAGGACAGAGATCACCAGTCATAAATTTGTCTTTAATGGGCTATTTTACAAACTTATTTTAGGCATAGAATTCCAATTCAATTGTCCAGAAGTCACCTGTACAAGTCACCAAAAGGGAGCCATCTCTGAAGGGAAGGTGGTGGGTAGCCACAGCCCTACCCACTCAGACCTGTTGTCAAACAGCACAGACTCTGTTGACTACCCAGAATTCCTCAGGGTGCACTTGGATCACCTGCATCTGAGGAAAGCAGGATGCTCTGGGTTTTGAAGAGACTGGGAATAAATGTCCCAAGTGAAACAAAGATGCCCTTTTATCCCTCAGAAGGCATTAATGGCCCGTTATCCAGGGTCTGTGCACTCAAACTCGTCTCTCGGAAGAGCAAATGGGTGTTCCCAGCCCCCTCTTTCTTTGTTCCCAGATGGTTTCTTAGCACCTGAAGCAAGCAAGAAGGAGGGAATAAGCTGCCTGCCTTGGTACCAAACCGAGGACCTTGTCGTTCATCATGGTACTTCGGCACACCAGGCTAGGGGTTCATCAACCTGGAGCTCATCAGTGAAGAGTAACATTTTGTGAAGCACCTCTATTAGTACCTACTAGGAATGTCAAATATGTATACCACAGTACCAATGACCTGATTTTGCTGGATATTTATAAAATACCATAAAGAGAATGGAATGCCTTTCCTAAAGTCATACCAAGACAAGAGCTGGGGATATAGAATTCTGTGCCCTAGAATGCAAAAGACTCAGAGAACAAACATGGTTCCTCAGAAGTAGTCATGGTCCCGGCAGCATCCGAGAGTGGAGCATTACACCAGCATGAAGCAATTGCTTATTTGTTTTTTCCTGTCACTCAAAGAGACCCAGAAGCCTGGCTGTGTCAGTGGTGTGAGAGCTCAGGATTATTTGTGACCATTCCAGAAACCCTGTGGGTGTCTAATCTCCCACCTCTACCTTCTGCTCTGCCAACCTGATCAAATCTCACCATTGACTAAACAGCTGCTGTATAGCTACCATGTTTCCTAGAGTTGCTAGGGACGTGCAGGGATGACCTCACTGAATCCTCAAAACTGCCCAAGAGTACAGTGACATACCAAATTATGAACGTGACTTTGACAGGGGTGTCTGGGACCCTGGTCTTGCCTTGTAACTCTTAGGTCATTGAGATTCAAGCCAAGGCTGGTAAAGTCAAGATGGCTCCTTCGCTGCCATCTCCATGGTTGTTTCCCAGAGAAAGCGGATCTATGTCCAGCCACTCTCCGTACTTCCTAGGCTATCCCAGAGTCAAAGACAGTCTCTCATTGGGGGAGACATAAAGAAAGAATGGACAGGCTGAGTTCTAACTCGTTCTGGTTTTAACCAAACAGGTTCCTTTATTTTCTGGTCTATAAAGCAGAGGGAGTGGCTCTCAAAGTCACTTCCTGCTCTGCCTCTCGGCTGGTGACTGCCTGTGAGTCTCTGAAGGGCTGTAGCGCTCCATCTGATGCGTCCGTGTGCTCACGTGTTCCTTCGGCTTGTGGGCAGCTGGATGCCCAAGGAGAGACACTTCTCTGCCTTCCCAGTTTCCCAAAGGACATTTTGTGGCATTAAAGAGGAACCAGGACTCTAGAAGGTTCACCGCCCCCTGGTGACTGGAGGAGGAAACTGCAAGCCCTTCCTCTGGATGCAGGGCTCTCGACACAAACTCCTAGCCCAGCTCCTGGAAAAGGCGAAAGCAGGTGGCTGCCTTGGGCTCCTTGTCCATTTTCTGGTGGGGGGATTAAATGATTGTGGAAAACAAGAGTTGAATGAAATGAAGTGGGGCTAAAACTCACTAATAGCTGAGAAACTTGAGAAAAAGCAAGCTCACATTCAGGCTGGACATTAAACTGCTTTAAAACAGTTACCTGCCCCTACCCCTTCTCAGTAAAGCAGAATGATTGGCTAATTTCAGACCAGAGCATGATCGCAGAACCACTCCAAAAGGGTCAAGTTCAAGAGGATGTTGAAATTCTAGGAGTTGATTAGAAGAAGGCTCTTGGGGATGTTGGGAGCACCCCGCCCCCCACCCCCCACCCCGCCCCAGGTCCTTTCTCAGCTAAGAGCTGTGAGGTGAGAGCACCCCAGTAAGCAGGGGGAATAAGGAGCAAACATGTAAGCTCACAGTGAGAAGGTGCTCCCCAGAAGTCGGGCAGGGTGACAGGAAGTCACAATGTGTTGGAGGAAGGGTTACGGCGTCTGTTTCGATGGCGGCAGGAGGCTCTGTGGAGGAGGGAACCGGGTAAGTGTGTGTGTCTAAGTAAAGAAGCAGCTGGCCCGTAAACTGGGGAAAGAGCTGGAAACATGGTCAAAGTCACCCAAACCAGGGGACAAGTCATAACTTTTAGACCTCCTCCTCCATAAATCTGTCATGCCTGTGCCTCAATAAACCTTTCTATATAAAACAGCAGCAGGCAGTATTCTGCCATCTTTTACACTAAAACAATAAGGCATGTTTAGGAAAGGAGGAGGCTGGTGCACAGGCAGGGAGGAAGGTCAAGCGCAGATCTTGGTAAGGACTTTTTGGTATGTGGTAGGAGCCACTGTCGAGGCTTGAAAGCAATAGGAGATAGGGCTTGATGTGTGCTTTGTCCTCAACATTCCTAATGTTGCAACCTTTAATACAGTTGCTCTTGTTGCAGTGACCCCCAACCATAAAATTATTTTCATTGCTACTTCATAACTGTGATTTTGCTACTGTTATAAACCGTAACACAAATCTGTTTTCCAGTGGTCTTAGGCAACTCCCACGAAAGGGTCATTTGATGCCATGCCCCTGAGGAGGTCGCATCCCACAGGTCGAGAAGCAGTTTTAGAAGCTACCTCTGGTTATTGGGAGCACTGAAGAAAAGGGAGCAGGAAGGGCATTTTAGAATCTGCTACCACCATCTCGGGAGAGACGCTGCTCATCTACGGAGCGGGGAAGAAATGACCAGCAGGTTTCTGATCCGCTTTGGAGATAGAACTGGCAGGACTTTCTGAGGACATGGACTGAGGGAAAGGGAACCCTCATGTACGGCACTCAGGTTTCTGCCTCAGGCAACATGCCGAAGTTACTGAGTGGTCTAAAAGGGGCATGGAAGGATGGAGTCGGGGAAAGGATGTGATGGGTACCAAGAGTACAGATTGAGCAGGCTCAAGTTGAGCTTCTGAGATGTCAAAACAAACAAGCAAACGTCTAGCAAATAAATATGAATCAGAGTTTCAGGCTAGGATGCACAGTGTCAAGCGATGCCCCACCCAGTCCTTCAGCCTCCCTGTGTCTCATCTGTCAAAATGGATTTGGCCATTTGCCTTGATGGTGGGTGCTGGACCCACCCCGGCACATTATGATGACAGTCATAATGTCCTTTGTGCAGTCCTAAAGCCCTGCTCACACTGCTGGGACTCCGCCTCTCTAACGTCATCGGGATGCTCCAGGGATGACGGCAAAGCTTCCTTAAGGCTCCCATGGCTTCCGTCACATCACGAGAGTGCATGTCCTGCCACGGGACCTTTGACCCTTTAGCTTCTCAGGGAGTCTCTAGAAAGGCCTGGTGACATGTTCAAAAAGTGTAAAAACCTTAGCACTGCTGAACAAACTCCATCCACCGAGAAATAGGTGCCAGGAAGGAGCTGGTGAGCACCTCGCTCACACTGCATCCTCTCCCCATGTGGTTTGGCCCATCAAGCACCCAGCTATGACTTCTATAGGGCAGCTGTGGCCAGTTCGTCATCCCATTACCTTAACTCCCTTCATTTCCTGTCCCACTACGCTTCTCCTCTGTTCTGGATCCCTGGGTTTCTCAGTCAGGCCTCCTCCCTAAGTTTTGTCTCCTGTTTTGAAGAGAAATGGGGCTAAAATTCCGGTGATAATGGTGGTGTGCACCACGTATTTATCCCACAACCCTTTAGGAAGTACATATTAGATGTCAGGTGTTATCTTAAGTGTCCCTAAAATGTTAACACACTTGCCCTTTGCACAACCATTGAAAGGAAAAGATTTGTCTTACAAATGAGGAACCTGTGGCAGACATGCTCAGTAGCCACAGGGCCTTGCTGTCCGGTGGAAGTATGATGTAAGCTAAGCACAATGCCCTCAACCTTCGGGTAGCCATATTGCAAAAGCAAAAGAAACAGATGAAATCAACTTTGATGATGTTTTTATTTAACAGAATAAGTCCAAACTGTTATTTCCAACATAAAGCCATCACACAAATTTCAGTGAGATATTTTACATCGTTTCTTACTAACTCTTTAGTGGAGTGCGTGTGTTACATTTACGCTACATTTCAACTTGGACAAGCCTTATTCTCAATGTTCAACAGGCAGGAGGGGCTGGACAGTGCAGGAGTGGGCGCCTTGTGCTTTGTGAGCAAAGGGCCATGGTAAGAAGAATATTGATTCTAAAACATGCCATTCCATGAGCCAGATATAAGTATGGAGGATGACCACCTTTCTGTGATCAAAAGAAAGAACTCTCAGTGGATGATGCTCTTCTTGCTGTTCTCGGTTCTCCAGTGATAACTGTTGCATATCTGTCTGCAAATGCCTAGAAAAAGAGAGCGAGCACGTGGCCAGCAAACGTGATGAAAAACATCCTGGGAGGAGATGTTTAGAGTTTGTGCTTTGCCCAGACATGGGAATGCTTGAGATTTTTTTATACTGTGCACAGTCAAAACTTGGGTGTTTTCTGCTAGCGGAACTGTCCCTAGTTTATGTGGCTGAAATAAACCGTCATCTGAATTTGGTTTCCGTTTCCAGGATTATTTGCCAAGTCCTGGCTGTGGTTCAGGCCCGTGGCGGGGCCTGGGACTGAAGGAGTAAACAAGATGATGCAGTCTCCACTCTTGGGAGGCTAGGGTCCTCTAGAAGAGCAGGACCAGGAACCGTGACAAAGCCATTTGATGACTGTTTTGACAAGAGAGGTGGGGCACTGGAGAGGAGACATGAGGGACATTTGACCCACAGTCAAGGTTAAAGAAGGCTGCGGGGAGGATGGAAGCCAAGCCAAAGGTGAACAGAAGAGAACTGAGGGGAAAAGAACGTGGGGAATCCCATAGAACTTAGTCCAGGCAGAAGCTGATGCCAGACGGGAGAAGGGAGCATTCAAAAAATCAAAACAAAGCCCCTGCAACTAAATTACAGCGTAAGCAGGCACTTTAAAAGGGGAGACCAAAGAGTTAAACACAGATGGGGAAAGAAACTAGAGTTCTGATAGTCATGCACAGAGAAGGGAACTTCAGAGGCCTCTTTCTACATTCAGGTGAAATTTGGGAATCTTCACTTTAACAACCTCCCTGACATAGAAGCTCCTTGACATAGAACAACATTGAAAAACTATTTTGAAGGTATCTGAAAAGTTTTTCTACCAAAAGAAATAATTTGAAAATGCGTTTCCAAGCCATAAAAGGATAATGAGAAAATTGGACAAATTTGAGCACACTGATTGTATTAAAGAACTGTTCGATTTTTAATGTGTCAAGGTATTGCATTTAAGACTTTTAAGGATCCTTATGTCTTCGAAATGCAGACCTAAAAGCTTATGGATAAAATATGTGACAGCAACATGATCTGGACAGGAGAAAGGGTGGATGGGAGCTAGGAAGTGAAAGACAACTGGTTTAAAATTGGAGCAAAGGCCTCAGCTATACGCTCCATTATCCCATTTATTTCCCTCTGTGTCAGAAGTCTTCTTAATAAAACAGTGTCTCGACCAGATTTCCTTGGCATTTACACATCACACTCACTGTTCAATATCAGCTGAATCCCTAAGATGTGACCAGAAAGGATGCTTCATGCTGGAGTGGAATCTTCCATCTAGGAACAAAGGTAGGGACAGTAGCTCCTTTGGAGGTAGCCAAGGGCCACCTCTTTAAGGGACTGATGATGCTAAGATCTCTAAGATCCTGTGTGTGTATGTGTTTGTTTTTATGTGTGTGTACACGGGTGTGAATGCATGTGTGTTCATGTGTCTGTATTTGTTCAGGTCATGTAGAACTCAGAGGACTGCCCTGGATGTCAGTGCTCACCTCCTGCGTTAAGCAGCTTCTCTGTTGCTTTTTCCTCTTCATATTCTGGGCTAGGTCAAAACTCTCCCTTCCTCTCAGAGGACCCCTGGGGTTATAAACGCCTGTGCTAAGATCTGAGCTTTTATTAGGTGCTGGGGCCTTCAACCTAGGTACTCGGACTCGCCCAGCAGCTGCTTTGCCCACTGAGCTGTCACCCTGGCCCCCAGGATCCCTTGTTAGCTGGCTTCTTTTTCTTTTTCTTTTTTCACTGGAAAGAAGGGACTCGGGGAAACCGCCACATCCAAGGACGATAGCAGCGCTTCTGGACATGAACTGTCAGACAGATCAAGGAAAATTACAGGAAGTGTTCAGAAAGTGGTGGAGGGAAAGCAAACAGCAGACAAAGCTCAGCCGCTCCCATCTACAGAGAAAGCCCTCATAGGACAGAAACTGGCAAGCCAGGAAGGAGCATGTAGTTACGAGCCTGGAGTGAGAATACAAGAGATGGCACATAGATAAAGTAGACATAGATTCTAAAGCCAATACGGCTAACCTGGAGTGTTACCAGGTACATAACATTTGTATACAACCTATACAGTAAAAATATACCGTGTGTGCCATCATTTTATGTCCCCGGCACTGAAAAGGACATTGCTGCTAACCTCTAGTCTTTGGGCAGGGGCCAGAGGTCAGTGGGCTTGGTTAAATCCCTACCAGATCCCTCATCTCCCCCTTCCAAGGCTCCACAGCAAACCTGTCCCACACTGTCATCCCTCTGAGGCTGAATGATCAGAAGGAAGGAAGAAAACCATGGCTAGCCAGAGGCACTTAGACTGCTGCTGCATGGGGATTCTGGTCGGATGTGAGTTTACCTGGAATGCCCCGGTGTTATTTCGGGAAGGCAGACATCCTATGGAAACAATGATGTGGAAAAGAAAACAGCTAAGGCAAATGCTAGTGCCTGGGTTTTTGCCAAGAGTCCCATGTGACCAGGGGCAGGCCCGAGAAGCCCAGGTCAGGCAGATGGAGGGCTTGAAAAGCAGGGTGTCTCGGTCACCAGCGGGAAGCATGCAGGAAGGAAAGGAAAGAACAGGTCACAGGGAAGTGCCCGGCAAGTCATGGTGGCATAGAGAGACCCTAAGATTTGGGTGACAGAAAAATAATAAAAGAAAAGAAATACAGCCTGGCCTAAGTTGGAGCCTAGGCTTCCCCTGTTTGCTGGGTGATCTCAGGCAAGACACTTAGCCTTTAAGATAGAGTTTCTAAGACAGAAGGTAGATGGGAACACAGAAGCTGGTAAGCAGGTTTCGTCAAGACATACAGACACAGCTTGCTCGTTAGTGATAAAATCTGACAAATTCCTGCATAGACATGCCATGTAGCCCAGGCTGGCCCTAACTTGTGACTTTCTTGCCTCTACGCTCTGAGGACTGGGACACAGGTGTGCACCACTGTGCTCAGCTCATTGCCTCTAAAGCTCATGTTTCTCAGAGGAACATGAAACCCCTCCCTTCCCTGCATGCAGCTTCTCCGGGACACAAGAAAGAGAGGTTCCCCGTGTTCTCTGTTCACTGTAGGCTGGAACAATTTTTTTTTGTGGGGAGTGGGGGAGACTCAGGGAGTTCTTAGTCAGCACCTGGTTAAGGAAAACAGAAAGAGTTGTCATATAAATGTGGAGTTTAGACATGTAGGTGTTTGTCTCAGGTAGGGAAAACTCAGCAACTGAACAGAGAAATGGGCAGAGAATTTCGAAGGTAATTCAGAGCTAAAGCGGAAAAGCGGGCGGACAGTGAGTTGACAAACAGGAGGAAAAGTCATTGCCATCACACGATTCGGGCGGCACGACATATAAAGTGCCGCAGCCACTTCGGAAGGCACGTGGCCGCTCCTTAAAATTCTGAACACGAAATCCAAAATGCGAAATTATCATGAGAGCAATTCCACTCCTAAGTTTCTATCCAAGAGAAGGGAGCAAGTGCCATCACACACAGCGATGAGTACAGGCTGCTAGGATGGAGTAGGGAAATTATAAACCAGAAACTCAGGCCCCTTTGGGCTGCTTCCCAGGCATGGAGCTAGGCAGACTCATAGAACTAACTGTGTATGGATCAACTCCAAGGGGAAGGGAGAAAACCATGGTCAAAAGGGAACCTTTGGGTTAGATGACCTGGGCTCCAGTTTCAGCCCTATCTGCTAGCCACTGCATGACCTCTGACA